CATACAGACAGGGTACATGCATGGCCCAGCCACAACAAAAAAGGTTGTGCTGGACTTAATCTTAAGTGGTGCTAAGGACCTGGTACAACATGTAACGTTGCTGAACTGACTGCTAGCACTATAGTCACCTCACCAAAATTCAACATACATGCAAGCAGAGACAACTGTTAAGAAAATTCAACATGAACACACTTCTAAAAAATGTGGGATTGGTAAAAAGGAAGTTGAAAGGGGAAATCAAATCTCTCCAGAATGCTTGTTGGTTATTCAAAATTACAACAATAACACAGATTAGGAAAGGTGCCAACAAGACCAAGAGAATGCCAGCATGGCTAATGACTAGAGTCAAGGAAGCTATTAGGGACAAGGCAGCTAACTTCAGAAAATGTATGTCTTGTCCAAATGAGAACAAAAAGGAATGCAACCTTTGGCAAAAGCAGTGCAAGCAGACAATAAGGAATGCAAACAAAAGAATTCAAGGAGCACATTATTTAAAACACTATACCCAACAATAACAAATTATTTAAATACATTAGAAACAAGAAACTAGCTAGAGAGGCAATTGTGCGGTACTTTGGACGACAAAGGCACCTGTCTGTGGTATATTCACACACAGGTATCTTTGTCGTCCATGACCCACCTTACACAAAGACCACCCTACGCAGAGACATCCAGTCCCTTCTACCACCTGCCACATTAATTAAGGTTAACCTTGTAGGGAGCATAGCTGGTTTGCCTTCTGCCAAGTCCTTGCTCTACTTCAATTACATGGGTGTTGCTGAAAGACCCAGCAACCTTTCCCTAGCTACAAAAACTGTAGAGCAGCAATGCCAAATAGGTATTGCCATGGAGACCTGAAGGACAATGCCCTGCTAAGAGAAGCAAACCTCATTACTGAGCCATTTAAAAACATGTAACAGTAACCTCCTGTTTTTTAGTTTTCATGTTATGAGAGACAAGCAGTATCTCCATTTAAAATGAAAATCTGAGATTCCTGTGTTTTCATCATGGTACATGTTAGTCTCCCAGCTCAATCCCAACACAATAGTTACAGTTTAATACAATTGTCTTCACAAATCACATTTGTACCATTTTCAGATGTGGACAGCAAATGCAATACTGGGGGGAAAGTCCAAGAATTCTGCCCCTGACAAAAAACAAAAACCCTAGACAGAATTACTGTCAGGAAGCGTAAGCTCAGGACTCATTTTAAGTGCCAAGACAAGATTTCCACAAAGCAATATCTATCTACCTTATAGGGTTTGCATCTATAAGGCGGCCAAGTTTTGGTCTAAACGACAATGAGTTTGTATATCAACAGGAAATCCTAAGCATTTGCCCTCTCAACCACAGTTCAAACCTTTTTATACTTCAACAAAATGAAATATTGTTATGTTTATAATTTGTGGAAAATCAACAAAGATTTCTATTAGAAAATGAAACGCAATTACAGATTTTTGAAATCAAAACCTTTGTATATTTTAAGAGTTAAGGGTCTGAACTGCAATAATTGAAAGTTACTGACACCAACAGAGCAACTACACTGACTACTGCTTTTATTAACTTAAGACGTATCACTTCTTCTATTTGAGGCAGGAGAGCAGAATCCTTTATTCCCTTCACTTCTGCTGATCTCCAACTAAGGTTGGGTGAATTTGTCAGTTTCAGTTTATCTCCCCCCACCCCAGTTCTCCACATTTCCACATAGGCTTGCAACTTTTTTTCTTTAAGTCCTCATGAAAATCCAACAACATTTCAGTGCAAATTTATCCAAAATTTTCCTTAATAATTGCATGCAATTTTTCCAAATATGCACATTTTTGCAAAGCAATGTCCCCAAATATAATGTATTTTAATGTTGTTTTCACTAATATATGAATTTATATATGCTTTACCATAGTATGTGCTTTCTTTGTACACATTACTTGACTGATGAACTGAATTGCAAAATTCAAAGAAATGTGTTTTGGTTTCATTTTGTTTCAAAAAGTGCAGATTTTAAAAGTTTAAATGTTTAAATGCAAACTGGATTGAATTTCTCCCCTATCGCTATCTCCAATGCAATGTTTATACTTTCCAAAAATAAACAAGAAACTTCCTTAAAGCTGCTTATCTGGCTGTACCACCTTCAATTCATGATGTTTCAAAAGCGCTAGGAAGTCCCAAGAGACAACACAATGCACATTCTTAAAATAGCATTAAATCAGTTTTAAATAGCATTAAATCTTTTACTATCTATGGAACAGACAGTGTTCTTAATTGTCATTTCAATTAAGAAATTTTGGTTTTCTGTAGTCCAGTCCCCAATACTCAAACTAAGTTGAACCTTGGAAAAGGTTATGTCTGTGTATGACTATAATTTAGGCAAGACACCCACAGACAGCAAATAGAAATGAAAATGCATCAAGTTTTAATAGCCTTAGTACAAAGAATTTGTAATCCGTGCTTGCTGTTTCCCTCAGAGCATTACTAGAACATATTTAAAGCAGTTCCGTTCCACAGCCCATTTCTATTCACTTTTACTCAAACCTAAATGCACAGAAATACAACTTAGGCTGAAATTGCTAGCATATTTGCTTGGAGAAAAGTTACACTGAACTTAATATAACCTACCTACTTCCATGTTCAAATTAGCAGCTTGAAATACAAGTTTCAAGTCGCATTTGCACAGAGTTGTTTTTGCATCAGAGAGGGTCGGAGATGTCTTCACCTGATACACATGGCCTTCTTGTTTCTTTGCCCCTGTAATTCCTTTCATTAAGCGTTTATGTGCTCTACTGGCGCAACAACTGTTAAGGGTATGTTCACATTATCGGTTACACAGCATCCAGTTTCCATACACACTGAAGCTGGTTTCAGAAACAACGCACCAAGCAGTAGTATTTATTAATAAGCTACAGGTTTGCTATTGGTTGTGACTAACATCTTGTGAAAGTGGCTTCAAAAATTTGCGGATGGAAGCACACCGGATGTAGTAAGTGGTAATGTGAACATACCTTAAAGGCAAAACCCTAAATGATAGTTTGCATTTGATACATTTAACACGCTTTCAAGAAAGAGGTGAACAGACTGTGTTATTGTGGACCAACAGTTTAGTTCTTCTAATTCATTTTATTAAAAAAAGGGAATAATAGTACATTTGCTTAGGTAACTGTGAAAGCATGAGTTTTTAGTGAATAAAGCTAGGGTCCCCAACACAGTCCCTGAACCTTCCATTTCTTATTTTTTAAGTGTGTGTGTGTGTTTTAATCCCTTGGGTAATGCTGTGCTGCTAAGTGAGGCATCCAGCCCCCCCACCCTCATATCTCCCTTTTCCCAGATTGCCTCTGGGTCCCATGTGGGTGTTCTGTCCACTTTATTTCTTTGGCTGTTGGGGGAGGTTTTCCTGATTTTTGGTTGGAGGTGGTTCTCCCATAAGTTTTTTCTGTTATTGTTTTTTTCAGAGGCCTTGGTTTTACTGGGGTTTTTTTTGAAGAAGGATAATTGCCTGTGGTTTTTTGTTTCGTTTTGGAGGTTGTGGGTGTTTTGCCTGTTGTGCGTGGAAGGTGTCTAAACATCTCTGCTTTTTCTTCTGTGAAATGGGAATTTCGTGATTTTTAGATTTCCAAATGTGTCCCCAGGCCCCAAAACACTGGAACCCAGAGGAATCAAGCATATGCATTACAATGAACTACATATGATACTATGGAAACCAAGAACATGGTGCAAAAAATGATTACTGTAGGTTCCATAGCATGAGTTCTTCACCCAATATGCATTTTGCTTTGTAAATGCTTTGTCGAAACTAAATAATGTGCATGACTTTCCTCTAGAAGTGCTGAGAGGATTAGTCATTGTTTGGAGCATGATTCAGGAAGGTAGAGTGCTAAGTGCTAAGCCTATTCAGCTTCTCTAAATCATTTACTGGAAAGAAAGCTATCAATGTGTATTATGGCACATGCATATGAACAAAAATTCAGATGGCTTGGCCAGTCATTTGCACTTGATAAGCAGTGCATCATTTATTCCTTCCCTCCTACATATAGAGACAAAACCACATTTTATTTACCTACAGCTGGAATAATGCACACCTTCAGCTGTATGTTGATAACACTAAATCACAATCTATGCCAATTCATGCGGCATGAATGGTACAAATTCTTCAAAGCACAGCGTAAAAAACATCAGAACTACAAATATAAACAATAGTGTTGGAAATATCCCCCCCCAAAAAAAAAACACCTTATCAGAATTCTAACATTTATCATTTAATGGCTTTTGTTCACGTGTATTTTATGAACATAAATTACAACAAAGCTAAGAAAGAAGCTGGTGAGAAATAGTAAAAAATTTAAGCATCTAAGACTGCAATCCTAGGTACAGTTACTTGGGAGTAAGCCCCACTGAACTCAATAGGACTTACCTCTGAGTAAAAGCCATAGGATTCAGTTGCATGATGCTAAATTTGTTCAAAGGTATTCTGTCAGCAAAAGGGGGGAGTGAATAATTCATATGCTAAGTAAAAGCTATACCACTGAGCTTTTTTACTTCATATCATTCTCTTTTATAAGAAAGCTATTATTTCCCTTTGGTGCTAAACAACAGTATCCAACCCCCCCCCCCCGCAACCATTCATTTAGCTAAGATGCAAGTTTTCCCAAAAGATAGCATGAAACAATACCCAGATTTTAACATTTCAACTGAGTTCTGCAACAGTCTACATGCATTTCCATGTGTCTAATATTTATTCAGAAGTGTGGACAGGGGGAGGGGATTTAATAATTCCACAAAGATTATAACTGCCACACTTGTTCTTTCTGCAAGGACAGCACTTAACACTGATAAACATTCTGGACACACACAGAGTGATACTCACATAACAACATATGCAGAGACACAAGTGTAAGAGCAGTGATGAATGTACTTGCACCTGATTATATCTAACACACTGCAAAACGAAGGACCCAAAATGCTACAGAGCTACAGTCTGAAAATAGTTAAAGACAGATCACTCAACTCACCGAAAGAATGAATACAAGTATCAATAAGGTCATCTAGGCTGGCTCCCTTGGCTAAGTGACCCAAAGACATTGTTATGTTGAACTCAGCAGTTCTGGCAAGATCTGAATGGGAGCAACAAATCTCCTCCAGCTCAACAGCTGCCTTTGGATCAATGCTGCATCCTTGTGAAGCTTTCCTAAAGGGGAAAAAATAGAAGAATTACATGTGAGAGCACCAACACTTAAGTGAGAAATTTAACAACAGTCTCTACAGCAGGTTGGAAAAGAAGACGCTTGACTATTAAGCTCACAGGAATCGGGCTATTCAAACATTCCCCTCCCACCTAGAAAATGCATCAAATAAGGTTCCCTGTTTTGTAGAAGACATTCCCTTCTACAAATGTACTCATTGCTCCATGTATTCTAAGAGCCACATGTGGCTCTCACAGCACACAGACCTCTTCATTATTGTGAAGACCTTTTATCCATTACTTTTTTAAAAGCATACATTAGAACCAGCAAACAAATGAACAACCACACCTTGCACCGTCAATTCAATTCATCCAAATAAAACAAGGCAGGAAAAAAATACATCCCACTATATGGAAAAAAAATTCAAATAAATGTCCAGCTTCTGTGGCACATTTTGTAAATATAAGACTGCAGAATTCTGGGAAACTGTATGCTTATTTCTATTGCAAACAAACAAACAAACAAAAAGACAGCTTGAGAACATTCATAAAGTAACAAGTTCTGGTCCTCCGTCTAAGTTCTGGACACTAGGACTTCTCTGGCCTCCCCCACAACCACTTTTTGCAAGGACTAAACAAGCAGCTCCTGAAACCCATAAGACTTCTACAGCCACTTTGGAAGCTAGTTGCTCAGCAAGAGAAAGGCATTTTGAGAGATGGGTATCTGGAAGAGTGAGGAAGTGCTTGAACCTTTTTCCTGCCAGCAGTTTCAACCCTCCAGTTTCCGTACCCACAAGATGCTTCCTCCCCTCCCCATTCTGTGGGGTTCAAAACAAGTGTTCCAGGTTATTTTGGAATACACCCATTATTTTGATACATTTCATAGAGATTTGATCAGTTCTGTCACATGGATCGGATGCATCTCCCCATAAAACTTAGAAAGGCATTGTAAATTAACTATATCTCAGACCTTCGTGACTCAACTGATGATGCCAATTTCTGCTTTCACTCCTTAGCTATCAGTAATTTTGCATCAGCTTACACCTTATCATTTTTTAAAGAAGATTTATTTTATGTATTTTTATACCATCATACAAGTGCATTCCCAGGCTGGTTTACAAAAATTAATTCACCCTCCTGCTCCTTAGCACAAACCTTTAAATAGCCTAGTAAAACAGTGCAAAAATCCACGGCTATCTTAATAACTTGTTTAAGTTAATGCCCGTACCATTTCTGGTACAATATACTTTTCCTTCATATTTGTGTTACGTATTTTATTTTTTTAAAGTAATGATATACAGAAAAAAACAGTTTATGGGTTACTTCTCTTTTTTCATACTCTGAAATAGCCAGAGAACCAAGGTGAAACTATGCAAATAGACAGGGGACCTATTCTTAACAGTTCTCATTATGTTCAAAATGGAGTAGAATGTGCATGGCCATTAGGGTAGCACATGCATCCAGAGAACAGGAAGCTGCCTTTACACTGCATCAGACTGGACCATCTAGTTCATTACTGTACACAGTGATAGGCAGAAGCTCTCCAGGAGTTCAGATAGGGTCCTGCCCCAGCCATGACCTAGCATGACCAAATTCAGCCTTGAGCTCTATAGTGAACTTAGATACAATGCTTCACCTTCTCTCCAAATGAATGGCTGCCATTCACTTCTGTGGAAAATATGTAAAGCGCACTACTTGGGAACACTGTTGCAGGGCGGGGCAAAATCTGTTCCCTTTTTGTAAAGGTAAAGGGACCCCTGACCATTAGGTCCAGTCGTGGCCGACTCTGGGGTTGCAGCGCCCATCTCGCTTTATTGTCCGAGGGAGCCGGCGTACAGCTTCCGGGTCATGTGGCCAGTATGACTAAGCGCTTCTGGCAAACCAGAACAGTGCACAGAAACGCCATTTACCTTCCAGCTGGAGTGGTACCTATTTATCTACTTGCACTTTGACGTGCTTTCGAACTGCTAGGTTGGCAGGAGCAGGGACCGAGCAACTCACTCTGTTGCACGGATTCAAACTGCCAACCTTCTGATCGGCAAGTCCTAGGCTCTGTGGTTTAACCCACAGCGCCACCCGTGTCCCTCCCTTTTTGTAGCAGCACTCTAAAGTTAATAATGGATTTTTGTTTCTGAACTTTTAAAAATGTAGGGCCACCCCACATTTTGAAGAATGTTCTGCCAAGATGAACATCCATTTAGGTTTTTTAATATATACATATCTGTAGAGGCCTAAGACTGTTACAATTAGGACAGAGGGTCCATGGCACTTACCCGTCAACTGTCTGGGACATTCCATTTTGCGAGAGCACAGTGGCCAAAAACGTGCAAGATCATGGCCAGATGTGTGCCTTGCGTGAGATTGTGGAGCCCCAAAATGCAGGTTTCTGGGTGCCGTGCTCTTGCACAGGTCATGGGACTTGCATTGGAGTGTGGCCCAGAAGACACACGAACCAGTTTTCCACTGGGACACGTTGGAGGGTATGGTGGCACCATTCACATACCAAACACTACCACAGATATATCAACACTTTCAAAAGTAGGGGATTCATGCCTTGGCTTTTGAAAAACAGGGGGTCAGCAGTACTTAGGTAATTGGGAACCACTGCCCTAAAGAACTGTCAGATGAATATCATCTAGAACTAGTGTTTTGCTACTTTTTACAGCTTGTTAGCTAGGGGTCAATCTGCATGCTCTTTTAAACAGATCTTTGAATGCTGTGGATTGCCATGGTGTTATCATTTCCCCCTTTTTATTTTCAGCCAAAATCAGCTGCACAGGGTCCTAAGCAATCAGGGCCATAGTGTGGTTAAAGTGGGAATTAATCCTTTGCCTTTTACCATTTTCCCACTGAAAATCCCCACTAAATTGGTTATTTGCTGCCATGAGCAATGCTGCACATCAGCGCTGCCCACCTTCATATTCTCATCATGTTATGACACCCAGGCAAAGTGGGAAGGAGGAAATTACATTCCACTCATCCAAAGTTCCACTTGGCAGTCCAAAGATAATTCCAGTTCAGGTTCCCCATCCCATTTCAGCCTCAGCAGCTGGGAAAAGGCAGCAAAAACTAGGCAAAGCATTTTCTGATTCACAGGCCAATGGAGATGATCCACCTTAGAACCATCTCAATTACTGATTTCCAGAGAAGTAGCCATGTTGCAGGAAAAGCACAGTGTCTCGTGGCACCTTAAAGTAAAAAATGTTTTGTGGCATAAGATTTCATGGACCACCACCCGCCTCATCAGATATTTACTCACATCATATAATTGCAATCCACTTCATCAGCTATTGAGGCTTTTATAAGCTCACTTGTGGGGAGGGGGGAGTTCCTCCAACAGTCCCTTTCCGACGGTTTATCAGTCAAGTGCTAACAGCCAAAAGAACTAACCCAGTAAGACCCAACCACTTTTTAAATGAGTTTTGCATTAATTTTAGTTTTCTTTTGATGCTGTTAGCGACTCTGAGTTACCACCGATAGAGAAAGATGAGGTAAAAATCGAATGAATATGCTGTCCTACAAACACTGCCTCACATGGAGCTTCTGTCCTCACATCTTCAGAAATAAGATCAGTAGGAAATCTCTGCACCGACTACATCCATTATTACCTTCAGAGAAACCCTGTGGTTTCTCTGTAAGTGCTCACGTTTTGCATATATGAAAATGTCTTACAGCACTGTGATATTTGTTGCAGTACATTAATCACACTGCACAAAAAACACCAGGCGACATCTAACCATGAACTGCTAAAACATAACATACAAACAAACCCTTAATCACACAGTACAGGGACCCAAACTAACCACAAGCTCCCTCTGTCTGACAATAAGGGGAAGAGGCTGAAAGAAATTACATTGCAGTCAGACTGTAGACCCCTAAGTCACTTCAATTGTCCCTGGACATTAATTGCGTAGGGTCAAAAAATAAAATTGACTAAGTCTGAATAAAGGGATTGTCTTCAGTAAATTATACCCGTTACATTGTACTGAATGCTATGAATCTTGGAAAGTTCCTGCCCTGGAGGAAGTGTATCATAAGTGGTTGTGAGCATGCTCCAGCTATAAAGCCACAACCAGCACAGTGGGGTAAGGGACTGTCATCTGCCCTGACTTTTTAATGTACCTGAAGAGAACAGCTGACTCAAACAGACCTGCTTGAAACATCAAGCCTGACAAGTGGTTGAGACTTCCTGCTCACTATTCTGGAGGAAGTGTGTAACTGGGGCCTTGTAATCATGCCCTAGGCTGGAGTTCATAGTCACAAACACAGGAGAGACAAGGGTCTGTCAGTTTGACTTGAGTAGTATGGACAGTCTTCCCTTTTCTGCCTCTGAATTAACCTGTGATGGGAGAGTAGGTTTGACAAGAGCGGGCTCTGGGATATGGTGACTCCTTTTATCCTGTACTATTATTGTATTAATTAGTTGTGACTCATTCTTCTCTTAGTTTCTGATAGTTGGGTGGGTATATCTGAATCGTTTATTATATTGGCTGCTAGAGTGAAAAAATAAATGTGTATTTTTTGCTAAAACAAAGGTTGCTGTATTCATGAATTTTGCACTGATATTTAGTTGAACTGTTATTTTCTGAAATACTGAAGGTCTGTTTCAAGTTTCTTGTAGCATTTTATTGTTAGATGATGTTGCATGTTGTTTGCCTGTTGTGCTAGCATCTTTGAACTTCCTTTTGGAGAAAACAGCAGGGTCAAATGTATTATCATCCTATAAAGCTCTGACTGGTGATCTATTTATTGAGGCAGATTTCTGCAATATATTGCACTGGGGCATCAGCAGCAATACTATGCACATATCTGTAACACACATTTTATAAGTGCAAGAGTTTTGTTAAACATACTTAATATTCATTCTGCCTTTCATAATCAGCTAATGGTCAGATTTTCCATGCTGCATACAGGTGACCACAAATCTGAAACCAGGCTCCTGGCAACCATGACTATCAGTCTTCCTAAAAATACTTAGCCTCTTTTAGCATCTCACAAAAAGGTCAGATGGTGCTAGACCCAGTGCTTTTTCTTTTTTTGGAAAAAAGGTGCCAGTACTCACCATGAAGTTGTTACAGTAAGTGCCATACTTTTAACATTTGAATAAATAAGGTGTTGGTACTGTGTACCCTTGAGTACCCTCTGGAAAAAAGCACTGACCATTTCCACACAGCACAAAATCATGCCTTTCTGGTGCTATGTGTGCCGCCTGTTAAGAATATTAATAGTGAGACAGAACCACAGATATCAAATCTATATTCTCATCAATGCAGGTCTCACATTTATATTACAGGCAATTGCAGAAACACCACTAAAGCTCAATATATAATGCTAAACAATGGACTAACATTACTAACATGAGCTACAGGGAGCCTTGGGCTCACACTTCCAGAACAGCTGCAAGGAAGCAGTAGGAAGCTTTGGTTCATTCTTGTAATACCAAACTATGGTTTAATGTTATGCCTGGACGCAGCCAAGGTGTGTAGATCCACCCTTAAGAGAGGGAGGGGTAAAGAACATGCAAGGATGGATGTTTGTCCCCAGTATCTTACTTCTGTGTAATTCGGAAAGGGTTTGTCTATATTTTTTGTAATTCACTTTACTGTACTACAAATTCCCTTTGCAAAAATTATGTGATCCTACAACAAATATGCTTCTGAATGCAGCAAGCAGCAGCAAGCATTTTTTAAAAAACAACAACAGGGTGGTAGAAAAATTACCGTATTTTTTGCTCTATAAGACTCACCTTTTCCCTCCTAAAAAGTAAGGGGAAATGTGTGTGCGTCTTATGGAGCGAATGCAGGCTGCGCAGCTATCCCAGAAGCCATAACAGCAAGAGGGATTGCTGCTTTCACTGCGCAGCGATCCCTCTTGCTATTCTGGCTTCTGAGATTCAGAATATTTTTTTTCTTGTTTTCCTCCTCCAAAAACTAGGTGCGTTTTGTGGTCTGGTGCGTCTTATAGAGCAAAAAATACAGTAGCTCACAATATTTATTTGTAAGAAGTTTTGGGGACCCTGCACAATTTGTGTGGTGGCAGGGAGCGATTTCTCCCTGTGTTCCTTGGGGGAAGGATTCAAGCTCTGAGACAGCTTGCCAATGTTGCTCCCCCTGCCCCGCCAAATCTGACTTCACATCTATCCCCTGGGATTGCACTAGAAGACAAGGGGGAACTTCCACTTCTTTCCCCCATGCTCCCCACTAAGGAAACCACTGCGGGACAGATTGGTGCCACCTTGTTCGTTCCGCTGACATACTGAAATGTTGTTCATGACGGAAAAGCACTGTCATGTGCTGCCCATGGTCAATACCTGTTTGGGGAGGGAAGCACTTTGACTCCACCCACCCAATATTTTCCTGCAAAAGTTGGCTACTCTTTTACTAGCGGTAAAGGTCAACACCTAAACTTTGGACCGCCAACTTTGGACACCCAGTGCAGAATCATGAGCAGGATCTAATTATATTAAAGCCTTACTTGTCGGTTCCATATTTATTAGTGAAAACGAAAGTGAGCCCTTGACTTAAGCCTCCTGATGCTCTGCTCATTTGGGCACACAGAAACAGAGGGGCACATTTTTTGGCTAGGTTAAAGGAGTAACCTTATACAGAACCAGCTGGTCCTCCTTTTACTTTTCTAATTGAAGTGTGCGGCGTGTTTTTTTAATGCTTCCCTCAGCTCACTCATCCATATAGAAATGTCCAGCTGCTTTGGGAAAGGGAAGATATATATATAAACTCCATGCACTCCTCGCCCCCAAGCTGAAAAAGTTCGACGTTTCCCCGCCTTGCCATGCGTCTTTGTTCCCCGCTGCCCACCGTGTGGATGGAAGAAGATGCCCGTCGGAAAAAAACAAAAGGAGGGAAGCCGGGACTCAGACGAAACGTGCGCCGCCCGCTGAGGGGAGAGAAGGAGGGAAGCAGCTCGGGGCATCTCTACGGACACTTACAGGGTCGGGCTCCTCCTGCTCTTGGCGGTCTCCATGTCTGCGCCGACCTCAGCCCTCCCGCCGGGTCGCCTCGAGGCTCCCTCGGAGCGCCGCGCGCGCAGAGCTCAGCGCCGACTGGCCGCGCGCGCATCGCTGCCCGTCTCCGCCGGCGCCCTCGTGCCGCCCAGGCTGGCGGGGAAGGTCGAACTTTTGCGCTCGCCCAGCAGCGGAGTCGAAAGGAGCCTGGAGCCCGGAGCCGGAGGGGAAGGGAGGGGCGGGGCCGGGGCTAAGCAGAGCTTCTCCCCCCTCCCTTCCTCCGGCTCGAGGAAGTGGTGCTCCGAGGCCGTGGCGAGTCTCCGGAGGTGGTCATGCGCGCGCGAGGGTTGGCTAGATAAGGGCTGCTCGAAGCCCGTTCCTTCCTCGCCCGCGAGGGACCTCCTTTCTGGAGCGGCAGCGGGGAACAAAGACGCATGGCAAGGCGGGGAAGCGTCGAAGCCGTCGACTTCGAGCGGGACCGGCGCCTTTTATTTTTTATATATATTTTTTGCTCATTTGGGGAGACCCTCAGGCTTTCGAAAGCGGCGTCACGTGGCGGAGACCCCGGGGGGGGTGCGAGGGAGGGAGGGGAAGCTGCACCGGTTGAATTTGTGCCTGTCGTGTAGCGCTTACCCGAACCGTTTTTCTGGGAAGAAAAGGCGCCTCGCGGAGCGGTCCTGTCCCACGTTTGCACTTGTTTCAGTGGGATTTAATAGGACCGCTGTCTCAGCCTGCCGGGCCGTGCTCTTTGCTTAAGAGTAGCCTCACTGGCAGGCTCATATACGTGAGATTTCCCCCAGGTAAAGGGTTTGGAAGACTGAAATCGGACTTTCACATTTCTTTGCTCCAAAGGGCCGAGAGCGAGAGTCGCATCTTAGCTCTTTCTGTCTATATACTTAGTTACAGGTAGGTAGCCGTGTTGGTCTGCCATAGTCGAAACAAAATTTAAAAAATCCTTCCAGTAGCACCTTAGAGATCAACTAAGTTTGTTATTGGTATGAGCTTTCATGTGCATGCTTGGTATCTGATGAAGTGTGCATGCACACAAAAGCTCATACCAGTAACAAACTTAGTTGGTCTCTAAGGTGCTACTGGAAGGATTTTTTAATTTTGTTTTGTCTATATACTTGATATTGATTGTCAATAATAGTGTCATTGGCCGGGGGCGGGGAGATTGTCCACATCCTTATGGGCATCGCTAGTGCCTTAAAAATCAATACAAACTGAGAGCTTTGTGGCTCCTTAAAGGCTAGCCAACTTATTGCACATTTTGGGGATTATAGTTTATTTCATCAGATGCATGAAGTGTTACCCTGAGTTGACAGGTGTATGGGGTCAAAAGCAAAAAGTATGACAATTCTATGTAGTTGGAAATAAGAAAAAAATCACAACAGCGATAATTGATGATAACAGAATCATCCCAATTTTGTCTTGTTCCATAAACTCATCCCCAGGGCATCCTACCCTATAAAAAGCAATATTCAGAGTAGTGGTTTGCACAACCCACTTAGGAAGATAATAACATAATAAAATTCAGAACAGTAACAATTAATTCCCATATGGGAATCAAACCAGCAACCTTGGCACTACAAGCATCATGCTCTAACCAACAGAGCCATCCAGCTTCTGTTCCTGGTTTATTCTATTCTTATTCTTACATGAAATCTTGTGTTGCAATAAATCTTCATAGTTCCAAAAGACGCACTTGTGCTCATGGCTCTGCACTGGCTCTGTGCTCATGCCAGGAAGAGTGAGGTTGAGAGGAAAAGCTGTAGTTCAATGGCAGAGCACATGTTTGCATTCAGATCCCAGGCTCAGTCCCTGACATCTCCAGGTATAACAGGATATGCCAGTGTGTGAAATCCAGTCAGACAACCTGTTTATCAATTTCTTTGCAGAGAAATAGACAGCATTGGCTTTTTAAATAAGCATTCATTAGGATTTGGTTTGTAAAGCATGGACCACTTATAAACGCCATCTCCAACCCTCAAAAGATTCCATCAACGGTGTCTCCAAAAAATTATACACATTCGGGAAAATAGGCAAACTAATGGCAGTGTACTGGAAGAAGCAAAGATCACCAGTGTTAAAGCAATGATTCTTCAACATCGATTTTGTTGGACTGGTCATGTTGTTTGGATGCCCTGATTATCGTCTTCCAAAGCATCTACTCTATTCCGAACTTTAAAATGGAAAGCGCAATGCTGGTGGTCAACAAAAGAGGTTTAAAGACTCTATCAAGGCAAATATAAAAAATGTAGTATAAACACCGACAATTGGGAAATGCTGGCCTGCTTCAATTGGAGAACAGCCTTTACCAAAGGTGTCATAAAATTTAAGATGCTTGAACTCAGGATGAAAGGGAGACATGGGCTAAGAGGAAGGCACGTTTGGCAAACTCTCACCGTGATCAACTCCCATCCGGAAACCTATGTCCCCACTGTGAAAGGATGTGTGGATCCAGAATTGGCCTCTACAGTCACTTATGGACTCACTGTTAAGACCAGGTTCATAGAAGACAATCTTACTCGGCTATGAGTGATCACCAAAGAAGAAGAAGACATACTGATTAGTTTGCAGAGTGGTTAGAAGATGTTGGCTATTTAATGATTTTGTGAGGTGGTTTTCTTCTGTTATCTTCATTGCATGAAGTCCTATCTTTGAAGAGGGTTTGTTGTGAATGACCCCCACCCCATCAACTATAATTGTGCAACCTAAATTCCAATCCATGCTTCAGAGAAAGAGAGCAGCTCAAATCTGTGCTTTGTAATAACGCAACAATGCAGTCCCTTAGCTTTATCTTGCAATGTAAGTACTTGTAGCAGGTCTCTGAAAGGACCAATACAACCACTTTTACAAACACAGTAAGTAATACCTTACAATGCAAGATTAACCCGCACACACAAACACAAAACCCCCATATTGTGTCTCTGGAAAAGGGAAGAGAAGAAAAAAAGATTGACATTGTGGACTTTTCATTAAGAACTCATAACTCAGACGTGGAGCTGAGCACATAGTGGTATTTATTTATCTGTCTGTAAGAGGTTTTTATCTACCACTTTTCAGGGGAGATTACAAAGTGGTTTACATAATAAGATTAAAATAATGAGTATTCATAAAAATTACCGTATGCAATAAAACAAAATAAAACCAGAAAACAAATGAGGGGAAACCCTTTATTGAAATGCTGGGTTTTTGTCATGCTTGGTTCTCACACTAGGTTCCCTCTTTTCCCTGTAGAGACAGTTGGAGGAGAAAAGGGCCACCGCAGCTGGAACACACTGGTGTTTCTGCTGCTGCTTCCATCTTCTCAGGCTCAGAACAATATGGGACTTCAGAAGCCTCCTGCGATGGTAGTTGCAGGAGGAAAGGAACATCTCAGCTGGAGCACTGGGAGCTAAATGGTAGAAGCTCAACAAGCTGTTATAGTATATGTTTAACTGATTCATGCCCCTGGGGTGAACAGTAAATGTGATTGGCTGTTTGTAGTCCACTCAGCCCAGACGTTTCCATGGGAGGGCACAGAACTCATCATGCCATCTGATGTCACATTCTGTTAATTATTGAGATCTGTTTCACCACCAGCGTTTTCAATCACTGCAGTGCAAAATGTGGAAGTAAAATTCCAGAGTTGTTTACCTACCAACATTTTAAAACTGCAGGGGCATATTAGTCCCACCAAACAAAAAATTCCTCACTTCCTGTCTTACTCAGCACGCCTTTTGTGACCGACATGTTGAAATTCCCCTTCTTGACTCATGCTGAACAATCAGGTGTTTTAACTTGGATTACAGAGTCCATTAAGCATAAAAATATCAAGATGTTTCCTACTGTCACAGTGCTGAACAGTAGATTTGGCTTATTTTCTGCACTATGTTTTGTCTTGCTCTGGTTGCCAGGCATTGTGGGGTGCAAAGCATCCTGTTTCCCTCTCTGCACCACTTTGTTAGTATTATTTTTGGCAGCTTCCTCTGCTAAGTAGTTTTAACTATGGAGCCAGAAATATAGAATAAAACAAAAGCAAGAGAGAGCCCATGTGACTTAACTTTCAAGGACTATGCTTTGATAGTTTATGGCATTGCAGTTAATATGTTGTGAGTTGCGTTGTTGCAACTGTGATATAAAATTGAAAATTAATAAAAACATTTTCAAAGAGACGGAGAGAGCGAGCGCCAATGTGGTGTAGGGTGTCAGATTAGGAGCTGGGAGACCAGAGTTCCCCACTCAGGCACAATCTCGCAGCCTAACCTACCTCACAGGGTTGTTGTGGAGTTTAAATGAGGAGGGTCAGGACCATGTATGCCCATTTGAGCTCCTTAGAGGAATGCAAATGTAATACTAATAACTGAAAATAATTATTATAATGTCGAGAGGGATAACTGGAAGTTATTTGGTCCAACTTCCTGCGCACTGCACAATCTGCTGGATGTTCTACAGAACCCCTGACAGATGGTCAACCAGACTCTGCTTAAATGCCATCAGAAAAGATAGGCATCTTTATGCCTTCAGTATGCCAGTATAAAATAATTTACAATAGTACTTGATGTCTCATCACTGAACAAAATGTGCAGAACCAAGCTGCAGAAGTGTTGAAAACATATTTCAAAAAATGACTCAAAATTGCTTAAGGCTCAGTCCTGTGTTCCTTGTGAGGTGTCCATAGGAGTTTGTGGCCTCCCTCTCTTTGTAGAGCAGAAGTTGCACCTGTTGAGGTCTCCTTTTTGCAGATGCTGAAATATACCCTCTGCCATCAAAGCTTTGGTGTTGAGAACCAAAAGAAAGTGCCCTGGGGACTCATTCTCTCAACACACACTGGAACTGGAGCATGGAGGGGGAAGGCAGGATTACAATAATATATAAGTAAGCAAGCCAAAGGAGGAGAGGGGGAACACAGTTTCCACTGAGATTTTGGGGTTTGGTGGCTCCTCCACCACAACCACCCCTTTTGGCGCCCTGACCCTATGAGGTTGCTTTTTTACTAAATATGATCTTGACCCCAGACCAGCCTGAGACCTTTTGGTTCCTGAAGCAGGTTTGCCACCGATGCTTCCGCCCTGAGCATGCTGCCTGAGGCAGGTCACTTCAGATTGCCTCTCCAGTGTGCCTGCTATGCTAGAGCAGCAAGCTAGCTTAAGGGCAATAGGGCAGACCACATGGTAAACTTTCTAGTCACTTTCCACCCCTCAGAATTTGCTGTCTGAGGGAGCTGTCTCCCTCTGCTTCTTGGTAGGGCAGGCCCTGTCTTGACCTAAAATGATGATGATGATAATTCAGATTATTATTGACCACAGTAGCTCTGAAGGATTAAGTAAAAAATCACTTTCCTTTTATTGTTAAAATGCTTATTGCCT